TATGGTTGCCTCCTATTTAAAGGTTTCATATAAGGGTTTCATACAAAATATCTTTGGATTGGGTTATATATTTATTATCGGTGGCTAAATGTGAACTATTTTCTTTTCATGCCACGCTTTTACATGCAGCGCTAGACGCGTTGATGTTCATGTACGACAAAATAAAAATATTTGTTTAAATTTGACCTTGCTTTGAGCCATTCACAGTAAGCCGAGTTTTTCGACGTCTCACAGAAATTGTCCTGGACTACGCCAAATTCAGATAAAGAGTAATTTGACAACTTGATTCGAAATATAACAAAGATGGACACTGCAATTGAGAAAACAACCAAAGATTGTTTACTCAGTTGTAAAGTGACGCGGTCACCCTTTAGACTGGTAACCTGGTCTGTATACGGTGGATACAACAGTCAAGTGCCGGGCAAGCCAAGGGCAAGCTGTTGGTACACAGACTGGTTGACAATAATGTCTCACTCTCGTAGTGCCCGAGATGATCACGTGCTATCACGTGTTTGAGTCCTACCCTAAACTGACACTACAAACGCGAATCTAATGAAATGTGATCAATTGATCAACCCGATCTGCAATGAGCGACTCTTGCAATTCAAGGCAGCCAGAGAGAGTGTTGCTGCCCCTCACTTTGTCTGAAATCAAAGAAAGGTCACACCAGAGAGCAGAAGAAGCTGCTCGCACCCAAAAATCTTACCCGAATTTCTTTGCAAACCTCAGGACTTCGTCTCTCTCGGACTCTGTAAATGGAAGTTCATTATTAAAAAAACTTGGCAGTCCCATTGAATTACGCTCTCAAAAATTTCCAATTCTACCTTCAGCTCGTGTCGAACATGCCACACAAAGCTATGAGATTTTTTTTGCATCATTAAAACCTAGCTCTCAACCAAGGTCTGGGGCTGCAAGTCTGCAACTGTCAGTCAGATGCTGGATGGATTTGGCACTAAAAATGTACTGCCAATACCTAGCACTCCAAATTTCGGACTGCTGGCACCACCATCTCCAGGATTTGAATATTCTGATGTTATGGATACTCTGCCTGACTTTGGAGAGGCTGCGGAGGACAGAGTTATTTCAGGTTATTTCATTACAATTACCTTGCTTTTCAGCAAGGTCTCTCCTGGGTCTAAATCACCTGACCACATCTGTTGTTGTTTTAGGTTGTCGTGATTTAATACAAATAAACACTCCACTCTCTCGTCTCTCAATCCACCGAAAGTTTGAACATCTCTTTGTACTTATTTGTTTTTGGGTTTACATCCCTGTGTAGAGTGCTTGCAGCCACCTTCTTTCCTTTTTAAAACTTAAACACTTATTAGGGCGCTCAATCTATATGTGGCCGCAGCAAAAAGATAGGGCTACCAAAGTTCGGTTCAGAACCGATGCAGAGAACCGGAACCGGCTGAACCGAACCGAAAGTTTGGTTCAGTCCGGTTCCGGTTCAGGCTTTTGGACCGTCGGTTCCGGTTCACGGTTCAGGCTCTTCCAAAAATTTGAGAACCGGGTTCGAACCGGTTCGAACTGAACTAGCCATACATATTTTTTTATAAATTTTCTGTAAAGATTTGACTCAATTATCAATGAAATATTGTGTTTTGATCCCACAGCAACGTTTCGGGAGTCGGAGATTGAAATTATTTACATTAACGCGCGCTTATTTTTTTCACTCTTCAAGTTTCAACACGACCATCGACGGCGATGCCAGCCACAATGCCAGCCACAACAACAACAACAACGAACCACAACGCTGAGATACAACAACAACAACAAACCACCATCACCACCAACAATGACTCGTGTTGAGAAGCCTCTCAACACGATGTTACTAAGTTTCTTTTTTCTTTTTTCTTCCTTGCTTTTTTTTTAATACTAACAATTGCTATTTTTATTATCTAGGTGCTACTAGAATAACATCCCCCAAAATCCCCCGTGGACGAAAGGCAGCGAATGACGAGGACAAACAATGATGAACAATCATCCTGACGCCACCTACACCATATCATCGTCTCTCCATGTCACCACTCAGGGAACAACGAGCTACACAACGGACACTGCGACAGACGAACGATATCGAATGAATGGTGACAAATGAACAACAACGGATGACAAACAAGGACGAACGACTATGACTTACTGTCATTTACAACAACAACACATAGGGACATGGACGACAGACACAACAGTGGGGTATTTTTTAAATTTTATTTCAAATTCTAATTCTAATGTAAACTGCAACAGAGAACGACGAACAAACACTGATGAACGAACAACAATAAATAACGAACAACGATGAACCACAAATGACAATCGACGAACAAACGGTAACGATGAACAAACGGTAACGAAGGATGAACAAATGGTGAGGATTGATGACCAAATGGTGACAAACAACGAAGAAAGGTGACGAATGACGAAGAAAGGTGACGAACGACGAAGAAAGGTGACAAGCAACGAACAAACGGTGACGATGAACAATTATGCTGATGAACGACAAACGAACACAACGACGGATGAACCGTAATGAGTGAATGGCAACCGGAGGAGTCATTTTAATTTTAATTCTAATATAAGCTATGATAGATGAACAACTTGAATGAATGACGATGAACTCAACAACCACCTATCTGCTCTACTAATCTTATTTTATTAGGATACTGGTAAATTTATAGTAATGTAAATGAATAAACAAGTATGATTTACCGCTAAAAGATGAAAAACAATTGAAGTATCAGCAATATGAGGTTTTTTCATCGGTTCGACAGTTCGAACTGGTCCTGGAACCGAACCGAACTGACAGAACCGGTTCTATCGGTTCCGGTTCCGGTTCCGGTTCAGTTCAGCTAGAAACCTTTCAGTTCAGTTCTCGGTTCTTCAAAAATAGTGAAGAACCAAGCTGAACCGAACTTTGGTAGCCCTACAAAAAGAGCAAGCTTTTCAAGTAACTGCCCGTGTATTCACAAATTCATGAAGACAGCTAAACACGTGCCAGCACGTGTGGTCATGCGCTGCAGTCACACTTTGAACACAGACGACGAAGATTGGACAAATGCCCAATTACTGCCAAATATAAAGAAATGTTCGACAACATCATATCTAGATGGCGGGTCACTCCATTACCTGCTTTCAATACTAACCACAAGTTCATCAATGTCTAGAGGTCTCCCTCAGAGGCTCGTTAGTTCTCGTCTATTTTGAATTAAGACACTACTATGAGGGATAAGAGGACGAACGCGATCACCAGCAACACCTTTACTGCTATTTCTACTCAAATCAAGATCCTTGAGCACGCAGCTGACCGTCCGTCCCCTTACAAAAGCCTAATGCTAAAGGGACCAACCTTCCTTCCCAATCACCCAGCAAAAAAAAAAGATCAAATGAGTGCCGTCAATGCATTCTACCCAGGTAATGCAACCCTCGGATTTAGCTTTCTTGCGTTTCTGATTTTAAGCTTAACACACTGCTGGCACCCAACTATATATTGCTTAGGTAAATGATTGGAAAATTTTTTGATCATTGTTTAAATTTTTGAAATGTCCCCTGTTACTGTAAAAAATTTGAAAATGTGTGACAACTTCTAAATAAGGTAATTCCAATTAACTTATTTAGAAGTTGGTGACTATTTACAAATTATTTACAGTAACAGGGGACATTTCAAAAATTTAAACAATGATCAAAAAATTTTCCAATCATTTACCTAAGCAATATATAGTTGGGTGCCAGCAGTGACAGCGGTCGCAACCGCATCCAATGTATAGTCCTGTTTTTACCGCCCCCAAACCCGTGCTAGAAAATCATTATGTAATCTTCGGACTTTGAATTATCGTCGCGTCGAGCTCACGCGACAACAGAGGCCTTTTGCTACTTTTTAGTGTGAAAGTTGTTATATTTAGCTTAGGCACCATATAAATTAAAATTTGGGGCTGGGAGGATGGGTGTTTATGTGACTTCCTCGTCAGTAGGAAATCAAGCCAAAAGTGGTGCACGTGATTTGGAGCTCAACTTGACATGCACCTAATTTTCGCGAAAGCATCCACATCGCCTCAGATACTCCTAAATTATATATATAATACATTTAAGGATCCAATAGAAATACTTTCTCTCTAAAAACAGGTGAAAAGATACTTCAATTATCGCGCTCAGAGGAGATGAAGATGATTTCGAAGTCCGAAGATTACATAAACATTTTCTAGCACGGGTTTGGGGGCGCGGTAAACAACAGACTTCATATATCGTGATCTATAACTCATGTCACATCACATATATCGAAGCTGTCTACGAGAGACTATCCAATGTAGGCGTTGTCAGCTGTTTAAATACCGAAACGAGTCAGGTGAACTATCAACTTATGCATGATCCCTCTCAACAAGAACAAGTCTTTTCGAAGGCGGACAGGAAAAAAGGGCAGTAGGTGAGGACGAAGGGCTACCGCAACTGACGGCGAGACCACCATCGCCGAAGGGCCTTCGGAGAAAAAGAAAAAAGAAAACAAATAGTATTTTCTTATGTAGTGTTTGACGATGTCGTCGCTTTATTTATTCTATTTTATTTTCAACCTAGTCTGCTTATGCGTAAAATCGATTGTATCAAATTTTCTTAGTACCTCAGCAAGGTTTCAGTCGACGAAGTCGACCGCTAGTTACAAATGTAGTGTCAGTTTAGGTAGGACTCAAACACGTGATTACATGTGACCATCTCGGGCACTACGAGAGTGAGACATTATTATCGACCGGTCTAGTCACCCTAGTACATTATCCAATGGTGTTCGGTTGAACTCGCGGTTGTGCGATACCTCCGATTCTGTGATAACATCATGAAAGCTGCTTCATCGGAACTCGCGGTTCTAGCCTAAACCTGAGGTTACAGAAATGATGATGCTTTAGACGTTTCAGTTTTCGACTCAGGAGGATTGATCAAAGGCTATTCCAAACGTGAAAATTTGTTCATCTCGGATTTCGTTAATGATTATGTCGCTTCTTTTTCCATCTTTGAAGTCGGGTATGGTGTAACGGCTAACATTGCCGCCTCTCATTCATCAGATCGCGGCAGCTCGGGGTTCGATTCCCCGTACCCGAATTGGTTTTCACTTTTGCACTCTTACTTTTTTGTGTTTCTGTCCTAGTCTGCTCGTACAAGATTATTCGATGCCTGTACTCTGCAGGTAATTCAGGTGATTTTTTCGGCATGGGCCCATCCATCCATCGACTTGGAGAAGTCGTCGGACAAAGCGGTGAATGAGGCTACGTGGCTGAATCCGCACACTCTGCTCGATGGTAAGCTGACACTAAGTGCCCGGCTTTCTTGGTTCCATCAGTCATCCGAGTCGCTGGGGTCACGACCATAACCATCACGACCATAACCACAAGTCATCACTGTACAACACTGCGTTCTCCGTCCTGGAGGGATCCTTGGTCACCCCCGACAGATGACTCAGAAGCCTCTGAACCGGACAGATCGTATCGATGTCATCTTGTCCAAAAAAGGTCAAGCCCCACAGCTCAGAGTTGGCGTCCTCGACATCTGCGCAGCATTGCATCAGCACCACACATATTTTTGGGAATTTACTCTTTTTTTGGCACTTAGGTCGTGGACAAAATGGTAGACGATACTTTGAGGGGTGGTTTTTGAGCCATGTCATATGTTATTGATGAGGAGCTTTATCAATGTGCCGACTTGGTATATCTTTCTCTAGGCTGGTGTCCAACCTCGTATCGACCATCTCTAAAAACGGCTCCGCATGGTGATGAATCCATCGATACTTAAGATCTCGCTGATCCTGTAAAACGTTGATTCCCCGACCCTAGCGCCTTAGACTAGCTTAGACTTTTGTATATTGCTACCAATTACGCAAGAATACAATTACTCTTATATTTTCATCAATGCGCCCATTGGCATCAATCAAGCTGCGCAGTTTTCATCAAGAAATCCGACATCTTAGATGATCGTTGCCTCATCAAGCTCTTCCATGGCAATGACTCGATGGCCGCGATACACATTTAATCCCTTTCGGATGTTCGAGGCATTGAGTATACTTTAGTATTTTTGGGCGAACAGGGATTCGAGGTTCTCGAGAACGGTGCGAGCCGATCAGGGCTTGAGGTCTGAGGCCCTGAGCGCTCGGAGACCAGATGGTGGCGTGCCAATGTCGAGTGCCAGACTAGTCGTACCAAATGCTAAGGGTGGGATAAAAAGAGAAACTATTAGGTGTGTTCTCATCGTAAGACCCACGAGGAGTCGACGGGGTCGCATTTTTTGTTGTTTGCATCTATTGAAATTGTGGCTTCTTCACGCGCTATGATGACTGCAGAAACGCCAACACGTTTGGTAGTGTCATATGCCTTCAACATCGTAACCATCCTCATGATCGGACTAGTCTGTTGGCAAGTGCACCAAAGCACGCGTTGCTTTTTGATCCATAGCAAATGATATGATATAGCCAGTGGTCCAGGTGGTCGCGAGTCGTAAGATGATTATATAATATATTAACGCTGACATTGCTGGCTCATCTTTTCAAGTTCCGTGATACCAAGACCTCACATACGCGGCGGAATCTGCCTCATTTTCGATGGAAACTGTGAAACGTGATGGATTCTATAGAAAAATGACGAGTTTGACCGACCAAAAAATCAAATATCTTTCGTAAATCACTCGTCCTACCCCGAGTTAGCCAAATGAGTTGCGTCCCCACCTTCTCCTTCAAATTAGTTAGCTGGCGTGTATACACGGGAATACGGCATGCATTCTTACCTGACTGAAAGTCCTAATATTGACAGCGATAGTCTTGAAGATCATCCGCTAACATCAAATTTTATTTCACGCGTTATATTTTCGATTGATGCTACGCTCATATATAACAGCAAGGAAGATGTGGAGCAGACAAGACCCGATGTCGAGTGTTCCGTATCCGACTTTTCTAATAACAAACTTCCTCGGATTATGTCTCGAAGGCTTCTTCTACGGTATGATTTATCTCTTCTACACATTTCAAGGCCCTCGCTAAAGCAGTCCAACATTACCCCTGCCCAGGACTCTATTCTGCCATATTCACCATATATTTACAATACCAGGCATCAAAAGAAGGCATCGACAAGAGGAAAAATATCATTTTCTATTCTCACTGTGCTCTGTATACTTTATCCGTTGCTACTTTTGCCCTCGATATAGCACTGGCATGTATGCCCTCAGTAAGTAACCGTTCCGACCATAACAATGGCAATCTTCTTTGCGCTAATCAGTTGTGCAGAGCACCCCAGAGACCAATGCAGTAGCACCGTACTACGTTTATGTCATTTCAATCGCAATACACGGTTGCTGCGACTTCATCTCTCAATCTATCCTAGTACGCACATAAACCACTTATAATTCATTTTATTCATCCAAATATTCAAAGATCTACCGTTGTTGGGTTGCATGGAGTTGCAATATCTATGTCGTGATCATTCCTTCAATCTTGACAATCGCATTCTTACGTCAGTCAACTCATCTTCATTCACTGACTGACTCAAAATTATTGCCTACAGCCACTTATCTATCTAATATCGGCTCAGTGCACATTGGACCAGACCAAATTGTTAACTGGGAGCTGATTGTAGCTCCTACAGGTTTCGGCATGTCTTTAATTGTGAATGCTTTGGTAACGGGCTTAATCACGATCAGGATCGTCAAGGTGTACCGGGCAATCAAGCCCACCTTGTACGAGCAAGCTACTGCCGGGAGTAAACTTCGGTCCGTCATATTCATAGTAATTGAATCTGGCATGACATTGTTGGCGTTCCAAATGGTTATGCTTGTGTGTCATATTATGTCGAAGGACAGTGCCCTTGAAGCTATTTACTTGACCATCGGTATTCACCAGATGCTTATGGTGAGTTCAATTTTAGTTCTTATTTTACTTCCAACATGATAATGGATCTGGCTAGGGTATAACACCTACAATTATCCAGGTGCGGGTGTCAATGGCATTGTCTTTCCACGACGAGCAGTCCATGGTAGAAGCTGCCAGTGCCAACCTCAGCTTGCACTTTGCGCCTGAAGATCCAGATGCCATTCCTGAAACTAGACGTATCGCACGCCCGGAGAGCAGAGACAATGGTATTGATTTTTGAACTTGGCTTTCGACGAAGATATTGATATTGCAGAGAGATGGACACTGATAACAATGATACCGTAAAAAATTGTTGACATCATTTTTACATACTGTCACAAATTAATGAGTATAATATACCCAACTTTACTTACCCAAATTTACTAGTCTTGTTTCTACGATTGTGCGTAGATATATAGTTATACATACAATATTATAAACACGGATTTAGAGAAACTCTCAAGCCTGAAAATATCATCATCCCTTTCTCCAAGTTATTTACACCCTCATCCTTTAACCCTTCTCAATCCCATTATGCATGTCCAAAGGCAGCTTGTGCTTGGTAGGGCGCTTCGAGCTCTGTTTTCTTCTCAATATTGACAGCACCTATTGAGAGGGGATTGCTGTTCAACACTAGGAATGCTAGAAGGGAACCTTGAACAAACACACCCAGTAGATCATATAAAGTCTCAGAGTGTTACCTGTAATGGGTTTCTTAACTACGGACAGCTGACAACTAAATCAGTTTGCACTCGAAACACCCTCCACGTTTCAAAGTATAACGCATTCGGCTACTTCAAAGGCCAGCACGGCTAGTCCGTTATCGCATTGCTAATCGATAATCAGGGAAAATATATCTCTATGAAACATGTTTTCCGACAATACTTGTACTAAGAGGATTGACGCACATGGATTTTCGGACTCCACTTCCGGCTGCATCCGGCATTCCACCCTTTCAAAAATAAGCGTCCGGGTCCGAAGGAGATATTTTTATTCCACCCAGACCCATAATTTCGGTCTAGAAAATATCCCTGCTATTTCCATAGGAATACAAGTGACAATGTGGTTGATAATGTCTTTATCTTGTCCTCCGAGTCACCGGCGTACACTGAATCACAAGCAGCGGCTGCGGTCATTGCCTAACCCGGGATCCGAATCAAGGCGGCATGAACCCGGCGGAAAATGATGAGAAGTAGTTTGGCTATACTACCGGTTCGCCTGCAGATTAAATCCTCCCTTTTTGATTTGTTAAGGTGTTTAATCAATAATCAAGCAACAGCTTCACCTAGGCCTTCATAGTCGAAGTAAGGCTTTGACACGTATTAAAACCACGGCTCCAAGAGATTAGAAACGTAATATATTGTGGGCTGAGTGACCGTGACGTGCACAGGTATCAATTTCTTGCCTACCACACCTCGTACGATCATGTCGGCTTGTCAGCGCTTGAAAAATTTCTTGACGCTGTTTTGGTTTTCTAACTCTCGTCAACGTGAAAGAAACACATCACAAAAGTGTTCTACTTATAGCATCGTGTGTAATTCCATTTATAACTCCCAACACTTTACCTATCTTTGTCATTCGCATATCCCACTTTTAGATATACAAGTCAACTGGACCCTACTGGACCACTATGTTTGGGCGGTTATTTTAGGTAGACGAGGCCACAAGAAAAGGTGTATAGAAAGAATCTATGGCAAGAGTGGTGACCGTTGAAGATCCTTTCCTAGCTCCTTCTAACCACTACAGCCCTCGACGTCCAGTGTTCCATATCCATCCGACCTCGTATTGGACAGGCTTGACACATTTGACAGCGTTTCGGTATCCTGTCCTAAAAATCGTCTGCGTGGAAGAACTGAACCTCGGTCTGTTTTGTCCCGCTAATATTCCACTCAGCTTGCGTGTCTCTCTCAAGGTCACCTTTCACACGTTTTACGAAGTTCCACTCATTTGGATGGTGATCGTCTCCGGATGGTTATTTCAAGACTAATACCTCCCTATCTCTGGATTGTAAAAATTTGTATATAAAGGGCATGAATTCAATGTTCTGACTCTTCAGGATACTCTCCAAGCTCCTTCCAACTTCCAATCTCATCTATCTAGTCGGACACAATGGTCTTCTCTCGTCTCTCAGCTATTGTAACTCTCGCCCTTGGAGCCGTCAAGCTCGCTGACGCAGCAGTCACCGGGCGCGCTGCAGACGCTACTTGTGCCT